TTTCTTCAGTCCGCTTGTTTTCAGAAAGACCTGCAGCTCGGAAAGAGGCTTCACATCTGACCGGAAGCCCATGGAACAGCAGTAGAAAGGTATAGTTTATGATCAGGTGTGTTACTTGAGCCTTTGGCGGGGTTGGGCACCTCGGTGCTTCACTTTCTCCCTTTTTTCCTTCCCACCCCTTCATCCTTTTAAAAAAAAAAAAATCTTGTGAATCCCAGTAAGCTGGTCTCAGACTCATTATGTAGCAGAAGATGACTTTGGATTGCTGACCCCTACTCCCCACTCCCAGCTTCCACTTCCTAGCGCTGGAATTGCAGGTGTGGTACCATGGCTGGGGTTGGTTTGGTTGGTTTGGGGTTTGTTGTTTTGATCTAAACATGAGGATAGTCCTGAAGTGTTATGTGCGAATATAGTGAAGTCAAAGATGCCAAAATGAATAGTGAATGTGCAATTGGGAGAGTTCTTCCTGAGTGCCTTCTGTGTACCTGGCCTCCGCCAAAGAGAAACAATCAGCTTGTGAACTGGGAGTGGGATTAAGGACACAGGACCTCAATCAGCAAACAAGAAAAGTACTGCACAGCGACCAGAGCCAGAGTGCTGAGGTGGGGCCACTCAAAGGACCAAGGCCACTGCTTGGTCAGGTAGTCAGAGCTCCTCTGAGGAAGGACATTCATTTAAAAACCTGAGAAATGAGAGGACCAGGTGCCGTGTAGAGAAGGGAGGCATCCTGAGAAAAGACGATGTCACCATCATATCTCAAGCAACCGTGAGCTCCAAAGGTAAAATAAGCTTAGACCAGGGGCCAAAGAAGAGCTGAGACAGAGAGGAGAACATTATTAAAAAGCCCACTGCAAGCAAGACTCCATGCTAGCAGATACTGTATGCCAAGATGGCAGCTTTTTGCCCAAAAATGTCTTTGGAGTTTGAAGGGCAGGGTGGTGGTAGAAGTAATGACTTTGCAAGAATTGCATCCAAATTTTCACACACACACACAGTGCGCATACTCACATACTCACATACACAATATACAAGCCATTGAGATGGCTCAGTGGTAAAAGCAGTCGTTGTCCATGTCTGATGACCTGAATTGAATTTCCAGAACCCATAGTGTAGAGAACTGACTGCTGAAGGTTGTCCTCTGACCTTCACACATTTGTGGAGAAACTTACTTGCCTGAATTCACATATCATACATACACAATAATATATACATACATACATGAAATTTTAAATTAAAAAACAAAGACCATGGTGTGCTGGCTAATTTTATGTCAACTTAGCACAAGCGAAGGTCATTTGAGAGGAGGAGCTTCAAAAAATGCTTCCATAAGATCAGGCTAATAGGCAAGCCCGTCTGGCAGTTTCTAAGTTAGTGATTGATAGAAGAGGCCCAGCTCCCTGTAAGTTGTGCCATCCCTGGGCTAATGGTCTTGGGTTCTATGAGAAAGCAGGCAGAAGAGCAAGCCATGATGAGCAAGCCAGTAAGCAGCACCCTCCATGGACTCTGCATCACTTCCTGCCTCCAGGTTCCTGCCCTGTTTGATTCCTGATTCTGACTTTCTTCAATAATAAACAATAATTTGGATGTGTAAGCCTAATAACTCTCCCCCCCCCCAATTGCTTTTGCCATGGTGTTTCATCATAGAAATAGTAACTCTAACTAAAACACTTAGATATTTTTTTCAAAAAAGATATTCAGACAGCACATGAGATGATCAGCTTCATTAGTTATTAAGAAATATAAGTCAAAACCCATTTTGACATAGCATAACATCCATTAGAGTGGTTGTCAGCAAGAATACCAAGTGTCAGACGACACATGAAGAAATGGAGATTCCTGTGCTTTGTTGGTGGGATTGGAAAACATTGCGACCACAACAGAAAACTGTGTCTCCAAAAGAAAGAAAGATCAGTTAGTTACCCACTATCTAGCAATTCCTTTTCTAGACATATAGATCAGGTAACAAAGCAGGGAGCACCTATGTTTCTATTGACGCCTTTTCCACGGCATGGAAAAAATGGAAGCAAGCCAGGCACACAGTGACAGATGAAGACATACACATCCATCATAATGTTATCAACCCATAGAATGAATTTGGTTCTGCCTCGGGAAGGAGAAAATGTCAACACGTGCTACAGTGTTGATGAACTTGAAGGCGTTCATATTCAGCAGAGCCGCTACAAAGATCCAGGTACTTTGAGTCCATTTACATCAGGTACGGAGGCTGGTCAGATTTCCAGACAGCCTAGCATGGTGGTACATACTGTAATTTCTACATTTGAGACAAGAGGGTCACTCTGAGTTTGTGGCTAGGCAGGACTACATTTTTTTTTCTTTCTTTCTGAGACAGGGTTTCTTTGTGTATCCCTGCCTGTCCAGGAACTTGCTTTATAGACCAGACTGGCCTCAAACAGAGAAATCCACCTGCATGTACCTCTGCTAAGTGTTGGGATTAAAGGCATGAGCCACCAACTGGCTTCACCTTTTTGTTGTTGTTTTTTGTTCTTTGTTTTTGAGATCAGTTCAAACCAAGCAAACATGCACAAACTTACAAAGACAGTAGAAAGGTAGATAGGAATGGGAGTCAGTTTTTGCAGGGACATTTTTGACTGGGGAGCTGCGTTATCATGGAGATGGGCAGAGGTTGTATTTGCCCCACACTGTGAATGTGTTTAACTAGTGTATGCTTCAAAGTGGCTAAAATGAACCAAGTTTGATGGCAGACCCAGAATTAGGAGGTTGAGCCAGGAGGATCTCTGTGATTTCGAGGCAAACCTAGTCTACACAGAGAGTTCCAGGGCAGGTAGGGCTATGGAGGGAGACCCTGTCTCAAACAACATCAACAAAAAAAGTTCAAGGTAGAGTTTAAATAAGTAACAGGAGAGGTCTAACACACATCTTGCAGTCAGTTCTAAAATGACTAGTGTTTGGTAAATATCATTTGAGCTAACATCTTTTCTTTCTTACAGCACTGAGGATCAACCTTGGGCTATCACTGAGCTACATCTCCAACCCAAATAGCACCTTCCTACATATGCCCACTTCTGTATCTAGCTCATGGGCTAATGATGTGAGGAAATGGTTCTGGAGTTGGCTCAAGCATCTTTTAGAGAAAAGAGAGCAGGCTCAAAATGCAGCCACTTCTGAAAGGGTCCAGGATTTCAGATACTTAAGTTACTTATCTGAAAAGATCTGACCCTCTGAGGGACAGCAGAGAGTCAAACTGCACTGAGCTGACAATATTTCACTTACACTGCAGGAAAGGGATCAATCTGGTATTCTCTCATTGCTGCTTCTTTCTTCCTTTTTTATAAAAAGATTTATTTTTAACTCTAAATTTTTTTGAGGGGTGTGCATATGAGTGCCACCCCAAGATGTTGGACCTGGAATTATGGGCAATTGTGAGTCAGGTGACATAGGTCCTGGGAACTGAACACATGCCCTCTGCAAGAGCAATAAATGCTCTTAACCTATAAGCCATCCCTCCAGTCCATGCTTTGTGTTTTGTTTTTTGAAACACTGCCTTTCTATATAATCCTAGCTGGCTGGCTGGAACTCCCTATGCTGACCTGGAACTCACAGAGATCTGCCTGCCTCTACAAACCAAATGCTGGGATTAAAGGTGTACACCAACAAATCCAGCTCTGTTTTGTTTGGGTTCTATTTTGAGATAGTTTCTACAAGCTCAGACTAGCCTCCAACTCCCTACAATGCTGACCGTTGAACTCCTTCCACCACTTACCTTTTTTTAAGCATCCCTTCTCACTGTTTTGTTCCTCCAGATAATATTAATACACTAGGCAAGCACTCCTACACCTAGGCACATTGTCCAGCCTTTTTAAAAAATTCAAAAGAGCCTGAATTCTAAAAACACACCTGCTAGGAGGGGTACATGACACGAGACTGTGGACAACCAGAGGTAGCGGCAGTCCAGGAATCCTGAAGAGTGACATTCCATCTAGTGAGTAGCTGGCTTAAGATAGAGTTCTTGGCTTGGCCAGGCCAAGTACTTTACTTATTATTATTATTATTATTATTATTATTATTATTTGTAATTTTTTATAGGTAGGGTCTCTTTATTGCAGCCCTAGGTGTCCTGGAACTCTCGATGTAGTCTAGGCTGCCCTTGAACTCTGAAATCTGCCCGCCTCTGTCTTCCGAGTTCTGGGATTAAAGGCGTTTGCCATCATGCCCAGCCTGAGAGATTATAGGTAAATATCTCTCAGTCTTCTATTAGTGGCCAATGTTATCTCTTACAGGAACTGGGGTAGGAGAGCCACCTGGAGATCTTGCAGCAGCCACCTAAGGACAGCTTCACGCATCTCACCACAATGTTTTTTTTTGTGCGTGTGTGGTAAGCTCAGAGTGACTCAATAACGAACTGTGGAATGCAGCCAGAAGCCACGTGGTTCAGGAGAACGTGTTGTTAAAAGCCACTTTCCATAAGCATTGCCACCAACGGTCTTCCTGATGTGAAGGCTGCCTGCCACCTTTCCAGGAAGCTAACACTGCATTAGAACTGGAAAAAGGCATCTGCTCCAAGCAAGCTTCTCTACTTCTCACTGGTTCAAGCCAGTTCACATGCCCACTGTTTGCCAATCACTGCCTAAGGACTGGCTCTATTTTAATTCGTCAATAAAGCATAAGGTCTGGGAGCTTTGGTACAGAACAGTTCAGGGCTTTGCGGTGTGGCTGGACAGGCTGGCCTAGTCTTCCAGGAAGTCAGTGTGCAGCCTTCCGCAAAGCCGGGACCGAGAGCTGCTCCCCCCTCGACCCCGGAGCCTGTGGCCTCCCTGCCCCAGGTGCTGCTGCCGTGCCAGCTCACGATCAGCCAGCCCAAAATGGCAGGGTACTGCCCACTAGGCCGGGTTGAGAATTCGCGTCCTTTAGTACAGTCCAGCAAAACTAGCGACCGACAGACGCCAACTCCCGGAGACAACGCCCAGGGCAGCTCTAAGCATGCCAATTGGTTCGCGGCTCCATCTATCAGGAATCAGTAACCAATCACAAGGGAGAAGAGGTGGGCGCGCCTCCTGCGAATCAAGGGTTGCAGAAGCTGGCCAAATCCTAAACCAACGACCTTTGGGACTGACTTTGTGAACCGGGAAGCGACGAGCCAGTTCACAGATTGCAAGGCTTCGACCTGAGGCGGGTGGAAGTATCTCCGGACCCGGGGCCGTAGGAGACTCGGGTTTCAGCTACTCCTGCCTGCAGCCCTCTGTGGGGAGCAGTCTGTGTCCTTCAGGCTACGCCCCGCGCCTCCTCATTGGCTCCTCCAGGCACGTGGTCAGGTGGTCCCGCCTCCGGGTGGCCTGAGAGGCGGCACGCGAGGCCGCATGGACTGCTTGGCGCCGGGCCGATGGAGACGACGGAGGATGGAGGAGCTGCCAGCGGCGGGGGACGCGGTAAGCTCCGGGCAGGCAGCGGGCAGAGGGAGGCGGCACCAGTCTGGCACGCGGGCGGCTGAGGCGTGGCTCTTCCGGCTGGCGGGCAGGCTGGGCGGTGGAAGCCCGCTGCAGGGGCGGGGCCGGAGGCGGGGCCTGACAGGACAGCCCTGCCCCTCCAGCTGCGCTTGCGCATAGATTCGGAGCCCTGTGCTTCCTTACCTAAGCCGCAATAACTTGAGGATTATGGAATTTATGGATCCCAACCTGTGCCACAATTCTGATTTGGCCACCTATCCTCAACAAGCAGATTGAAAGAGCCACGTTAAAGGTGGAAATCAGAAAAAAGATTTACTGCAGCTACGTTGGAAAAGGGACAGAGGGATCCAGGGAACCACTCTCGAGTCTGACTTTGGGATCCTTGAGTCTAATGTTGAAGTAGAGAAGAGTATCTAAGCAGTCCGTGACAAAAGCGTGGTCCGGCTAACCTTGGCCCTTCGTTGTCTGAGCTCATTGTCATCTTGTGAGGTGGTCTGACAGGTTAGAACTGTGTGAAATCTCTATCACTGAGACAAGTTACCCCTTCTGCCGGGACATTTTTCTTCTTCCAGCATGAGAAGCCTGGGGAAATTCCCATTTCTTTGGGGTCCATTGTTCGAATAGTCTGATAGTCGATTAAGGGACAGGTCTCTTTAGAATGTCTCCATTATTGCCAGCCTTATAAATGGAGGAGCAGTATGAGAGCCTAGCTACTCAGTCTATCGCAGGCCCCAAACCTGAAGAGAAGGAAAGGGGAAATTAAGCATCGAAGAATTTAGGCTTTATATAGATATCACTATATACCCAGTGTTACACACAGTTTCCTTCTGCTGCCTGCACATCAAGATGTAGAACTCTCAGCTCCAACGCCATGTCTGCCTGCACACTGCCATGCTTCCTGTCATGATGATAATGGACTAAATCTCTGAAACCGTAAGCCAGCCCCAACTGTTTTACCTTTCTAAGAGTTGCCTTGGTCATGGCATCTCACCGTAGCAATAGAAACCCTAACTAAAGACACCATCTGTGCCATATGCTGCCCAGGAGCCGAGCCTGCAAGGCGTCTGATGTTACAACAACCTCTACAGAGTTCTCATTAGGTACCTGCACGATTGAATTACAAAAATGTTACAGATAAATAAACAAATAAAACCAAAACCAAAAACGTCAGTCAGTTTATGGTTTTGTGTTGAGCCTCATTCCGGGAACAGGTTTGGAATAGGTAGTTTCTTAACTGTTTGCCTGTGCTTTTATTGACCAGTTCTTCCTTGGGTCTCACCTTCATTTACTACCTCTTAGTTTTTTGAGGCAGAGTCTTCTATAGTTCAGACTGGCCTTAAATTATCTTTTAGCCCAGAATGTCCTTTCCTGATCCTGCTGCTTTCTCCCAGAGCTGGGACTACAGGTATGTACCCTTAAATCTGCCCCCAGGGCTATAGACATGATGCTTGCTGATGTGTCTTTCCAGTTAGCACAGCAGTGTTACTTTTACTTTAGGATTCTTTTTTAGACTGGACCTCTCTGTGTATCCTACAGTGGCCTGAAACTTCCTTTGTAGGCCAGGCTGGTTTTGTATTCCCAATGTTCCTATCTTAGTCTCCCCAGTGCTGGGATTATAGACCACCATTTAATGTCAGGTAACTCTGAGAGGTTTTTTTTTTTTTTTTTTTTTTTTCCAATAAGAGTGACAAGGGTAGGGGTGGCTCAGTGGTACACACAAGGCCCTGGGCTCAATCTCCAGCACCACACGAAAGAGAAAAGGTTGAACTCGGGAGAGAGCATAGTCATTGAAGTTCTTGTGGTGCAAGTGTGAAGACCTGAGCTCAATCCCCAGAGGTCAAATGAGAAAGCCACAGTTGTGATCACTGTGCTGGGCATACAGAGACAGGCCTATTTCTGGGACCAACAGGCCAGTCAGCCTAGTTTTCCTGGTAAGCTCCAGGCCAGAGAGACTCTGTCTCATAAACAAGAAATGATGCTCATGATACCCTGGCTTCTTCTTAGCCTGTGATCTAATAATCCAGAGTGACTGTAGTCAAGTAGCTTCTTGTACCCAGGCTTTCTGTCCACTCTCACTCACATGCTGCTGACACACATATGCACATGTTTGGTTCCTGTAGAGCTGAGACTGGTTTCCAGCTTCCAGCCACAGCGCAGTAGCTCTGTGCACCGTGTAGCTCTGCACTTTGTGTATAGCTGTGTTGGCTAGTTTAATGTCATCTTCACACAAGCTAAAGTCATCTGAAAGGAGGGAACATCAAGTGAGAAAATACCTCTGTAAGACCGAGCTATAGGCAACCTTGTGGGGCCATTTTCTTAATTAGTGATTGATGGGGTAGACCCAGATCACTGGATGGTGCCATGCCTCCTATAAGCTCATAAAACTATGATTCCATTAGTAAGGTTAATACCCTCAGTGCCCATCTGTTGGAACAAGGTCCAGTAATGGATTTGTGTGAGGAGAATTCTGAGTGCATGTGAGAAAACTCCAAGAAGACAAGACAGGAGTCTTGTGACTTGAGTTTCTTCAAAACGTGGAATTGTTTTTGGAATGTGTTTTTGTGTTCCTGCCAAATGGAGCATGTTTTTGCCACGTGTGGCTTGTCTTTGTCTTTGTATACAGCTTAAACTCATGAGAGTTTTACTCATGTGGTAATTCTTAACCCTCAGAGTATAAACTGTCTGCCGCTCTGAATAAAATTGGCTATTACATGAGGCTTTAGTCCACCTCAATTATGGGCTCCATTCTCCCAGGTCCCTCTACTAGTACACTTATAAACACCCATCACTCCTGGGATCTCACCTCAGAATATTGCTGCATTGGGATCAAGTCTTCAGTTCATGAGACTCTGGGGTACACTTAATATCCAAACTATTACAAATCATTATACCTAGTAATTTTTTACTAGTCAGACTTTATCAGAGATGTGGTGGGCTGAATAAGAATGGCTCCCATAGGCTCATATATCTGAACACTTAGTTACCAGGGAGTAGCACTATTTGCAAGGATTAGAAGTATTAGGAGGTGTGGCCTTGTTGAGGGAAGTGTATCATTGGGCATGCACTTTGAGGTTTCAAAAGCCCATGCCAAATCCAGTATCTCTCTTTCTCTCTCAGTATGTAGATCAGGATGTAGCTCTCAGCTACAGGACTAATCCTCTGAAAATGAAACTAAGCCCCCATTTAATGCTTTTTGACTTTCCTTGGCTATGGTGTCTCTTTACAGCAATACAACAGTGACTAGGATAAGAAGCATGGGGTGACATCTGCATCTGCATCAGAAAGAGTTCATCCCAGCATGATGGTGACTCTTGAAAGTTGCATTTCTGTAGCTTCTTAAACAGCAAGCAGGCTGTCTGCAGAGTGTTCTGTCCACAGCAATTGTTGGCTACTTGTAGAAACTTGGGGAGAGGACCTTGTGTGTCTTGTAACTTTCTGAGCTTTCCAAGTCTTATAAAATTGAGCTTCCTGTTTTCTTAGCTTTCTAAAAGGAGCTTCTCTCCAGGAGATGTGTTTCATTTAATAGGAAATGGCTACACAACGGAAGTACCCAATAAAGTTTAGTTTGAAGCACTTTTTAAAAGCTGTGCTGGGGAGAGAGAGTGCAGTGGTTAAGAGCACTGGCTGTTCTTCCAGAAGATCCCCAGCGCCCACCTGTCAGTTCATAACTGCCTGTAACTCCAGTTCCAGGGTATCTAACGCCTTCTTCTGGCCTTACTTGCCACTGGGCAAGCAAGTGGTACACAGACACATAAGTAGGCAAAAACACTCATATACATGAAATAAAACATAAAAAATGTAAGAGCTCTAGGCTCTAGAACTTTCCTCTTTAGAACTCTTGAGCCGTGGAGTGCAGGTGGATGAAGAAGCCAGTGTGTAGATTGAAGTGCAAAGCGAAAGATGAATTGTAGGTCCAAGTCTGTTGTGTGTACCCTTAGAGGCTGAAGGAGCAGATATAAGGGATGCTGGGGATATTGTGAATTGTTGGGCTACATGCTGCTGTCAACAGCTTGTCATCAGTACATCTGGAACTTCTGTCACCATCTGATCACCAAGACCACCAGTGAGACACTTGCTTCACTCATAACCAAAGTAGCCCCTGCCCACCTTTGCCTGAATTAGTGTTCTGACTTTCTCTGTTCTCAGGTGTGTTTAAGTGTAATAGAGATAAGAGAATCACCTCTTCTGCTGAAAACACAAAAAGTTTAAGACTGCCAATTTTAAGTGGTTTCTACCTTGTTTTGACTGGAAATATTTTAAAGATTGCCTTAGATAGAAGTTCAGCAACAGCTACTTTACAGCCAGCCAAAAGCACCAGGGACCCGACTTGCTCCCTGGTCTGGCCTAGTCAGCCTTAGTGACCTTTTACCCTTGCTGTGGTCTCCCCTCTGCAAATTTTTCTGCAGACAAGGGCAGCACTGTGGTGTGCCAGGTCCTGGCAGATTAGCTTTTCCTTTCATGGACACCCCGGGCATGTCAGACTCTCAGTCCAGAGATAGCAGGCTCAAGGGTGTGGAGAGGACAGGTAATTTTGAGTTCCAAACTGGAGTAATTTTAATGCAGGTTCATGGACTTTGATGTGGACGAACCAGAAGGCATCAGTCTGCTACATTTACCAATTCTTACTATTATGAACTGGTTTTAAAGGGGGAGGGGTTACGTGGCTGAGAAAGTGTGACTGTTTTTTTATCCGTCCATTCAATTTGTGGGTAACTTCAAGTTCTACCTTTGCTAACACTTGGGAAATTATCCAATAAAGCCAGTAGTCCTTGTCAGCAAAACCACTTAAATGTATTGATGGCTTTAACACCATCCCAGAAACCCTAAGGGGTCTAACTTAAAAGTGTGAAGATGGAGAGCTGAATCTGCCCGTTTCACTCCGTCGAATGCAGATTTGATAGCTCATCTGCTGAGTGCCATCCCCAGTGGAAGCCTAATGAGCACTCGCTGATGAGGCAGAGCCCCCGCCCCCAACAAAACCC